GTTGCAGGATATAAACAAGTGAGGCCCCAGATCCAGCTGTTTCCCAGTCCTTTTTGCTCTCCCTGGGTCATGCAGATTTTAAGCAGCACAGCCACATCCAGAAGAGAAACAGGCAGCTAAAAAACGACAGCCCTCATTGTCTCATCAGAAGGGATTGGCAGGGTCCTCCCACTGCCTCTCTGTGAGTGGCTGGGTTGAAAATGCTGCTCAGCCTGTGAACCTCGCTTACCGCCTGAGGCTTGGCAAGCTCCAGGGAAGGGGATTTGGCGTTTGCCTCTAGGTGAATGGCCCCGGCAGGGGTCTCAATGCATTTTGAGGGGTTATTTCACATCAAGATATCGGCCCAGCTCCAGGCTTCCCAAGAGACCCAGGCTGTGCCTCCCCACTGCCCACCTCTGCCTCCTGCTTTGCAGCCCACTGCCATCCAAGAGCTAACAACCCACTGCTGGGCAGGGCATTGTGTCCCTCTTCTCCCTGCCATGAGCAGCTACAGCCCTGTGGGAATCACAGTGCTGCTGCAGAGCCCTCTTCCCTTTGATTTCCCCAGCCCAGCTCGCCCTCACCAAAACAGGACAGGGTTAGATGTGACCCTGTTGCTCCTGGCCACTCAACACCACTTCATGGAGACTGAGCTCAGCCCTGATCAGACTTCCCTGGCTCTCACAGGGTCTTTCCTCAATGGACCTGGTCAGGTTGGGTCGCTCCGAAGTCTTCATCTTCCTCCTCCTCACTGGCCATGGCTCTGCTGCCCTACTGTGGGCCAGCAGCTGGGGAACATGCTGAGGAAGCAAGATTTGGGCTCCGATATTTCAGTCAGTCAGGCTGAGGGGCCTACCAAGTGAGTGGCATGGGGGCTATGGCGGCAGGCTGCCAGGCACACCACCATGCCCATATTGCCACCTAGCCTCCAGCTCTGGGATGTGCAACTTGCCACCCTCACCCCTGCCAACCGGTCCGGCCCAAAGTCCAGCCTCCAGCTGCATCAGCCCTGGTTCGGCAGGCGTGATGTCAGCTGTCTTCCCCTCCTCCCAGCCCCCAAAGGCACTAGCTGCCTCCCTCAGCTCTGTGGTCCATCCACCCTCTGGCACAGGGCCACAAGACAGGGCTGCCTGTCTCTCAGCCTCGGTCTCCAAGCAGATGGAAGACATCAGCTCCTCGCTGCATCCCTCTGCGGTACTCTGTCTCGCCTGCTTCCTTCTGGGGACACCCCTTCTCACGGCCAGCTAATCCCCAGTGCTCGCTTGTCTCTTTCCAGACCCCAGCCCTCACTAGAGAGCCCCATCACACATCTTTTCTGGGCAAGCATCTCCCTGAAGGCCATTTTTTCCTACCCATGCAGGATGACCCAGTAAAAGGCCCCTTTCCCCCATCTCCCATGGAAGAATGTCTGAGCACAAAATCCCCACTGTCACTAGGGGAATAGACACCCCCTTGGGAACTTTGTTTGTTGCACACCCTGGATCCAAACACATGGGAACGGACATGGACCCAGGGACCCACTCAGAGCTGATCAGAGAGGTACATTTGTAATGGGGCAAGAAGACCCAGGGAGAACTCTGCCTTTGGCTTCTCCTTCCCTCTGCAGTGAGTGGCAGCTCCCCCAGAGGCTGCCCAGGAGACGATATAATTCCTCTTAAGCACCGCCTCATGCTGGGAAATTTTCCCATTTACCATATAAAATCCCGTTAATCACAGAATATAACTAGGAAGCAGGGGAAAGAATGACCTGGCAGCAACAGAGGTAGGTGGTGTTTTGTTTTTCTTCTCTCCTCTAAGGGAATAATCTCACCAGCCTGCAGCCATCCTTCAAGAAAAGGACCTGCAGGAACTACTACCCATGGAGTAAATCGCATCTGATTTCCTAGCAGGATGAAAACCACAAGGAAAAACCTTCCCTTTGAGGAGAGCTCAGTCTCAGGTAGATGCCAAAAGGGTATACTACATGCTGGAGCGCAGGAAACCCAACAGCTGCTCCTGGGACACCACTGCCTTGCTGCTCAGAAGGTTCTGGCATGTTTGGAGCAGAGCTGGGCCAGGTGGAAGTCGAGAACAAGCAGATATTTCCCCCTGTCCTGAAACAAGAGAAGAGCCGGCAGTGTTGAAGGCCAGGCTGGACGGGGCTTGGAACAACCTGCTCTAGTGGAAGGTGTCCCTGGCCATGGCAGGGGGTTGGAAATGGATGAGCTTTTAAGGTCCCCTTCTGACCCAAACCACTGTGATTCTATGAATACAGGGTGTGCTCAAAGAAAAAGAGAGCCCTGAGAACCTACATCAGCCTAGGCCACTGGCAAGGCTCTGTCCATCTGCTCCTGCCTGTGCAGTGCAGATGGATGGTGCCAGAGCAGTCAGGGGCTGACCATCCTGCAACCGTGGTAGGGCCAAATTCAATGGGATGGCTGGGAGCAGGCTAAGGGCTCAAACACAAGCTGGGCCTTTTCCCCTCAGAGAGATGCTGCTGCAGGCAGCACCTGGAATTTGCAGTGGGACAGGGATTTCTGCCGAGGCCGTGTTCCTCGTTAGGGAAAGACAGGTAAAAACTGCAGGACACACTCTATGGGATATGCTTAGCTCAGCTGCCTGCATGTCTGCTTATTAAACTCTGAGTTTAAGGATTTAGTTCCACATATCAGTTTACTTAGAAATAAAGCATTGCTTCACATTTTAATCCCAAGCATGCCACATTGTCTTGCCCGCTTCCTCTTGTGCCCTCTCCCCAGGACCTCTTCCCCAGCGAAATGCTGGAAAGTTATTAGCAAATATTCTGTGAAATATTTAATATCCAGACAGCAGGGGCTGTGCATCCCAGGAGACCCATAGCCCTTATGCTCAGGACAGGAAAAACAAGGATTGTTTGCAGGCCCTTAGGTCCTACTGGGAGACGCTTCAAGGCTGGAGCTGTTGCCAAGCCAAAACTTCACAGTGAAGCAGCCCTTTAGACGAGTTATAAGGTATTCCAGCTTGGGATGGATTCCTCTTCCACTGTGCCCACAGCCTTTACACAGAAACAAAGGGTATTTTGAAAATATATTTTCCAGCCCTACATTAGTGGAAGGCAGCTTCTTTTTCTGTTCTTCAAAGGATTTAATGGAGGCTATCTGAGCTCCTTCTGTCTGCAGGAAGGCCATGGCAAACATGTCAACTGGCTTACGATTATTAAAAAAAACAAACCTATAAAAGTATTTGTGTATGTGTTTATTGGGGTTTGGTGCTTTCAGAGGTTGTGGAAGGTTTTGTGCAGCAAGACCACCTTCCCTAATAATGCATTGAAGCATACACCTCTTTTCCACTAAAAATACTTCAGCCTGCTGGAGGGATGAGCTGTGAAAAAGCTGGAACATACAAGAGGGCTGTGTAGATTCACCCGCCGACGGCAGGGCACAGAGCTGACTTGCCCACCCCTTCGCCTAACTCGGGTAGATCCAGCACTCCGCAGCCCCGCACTAAACCTCCCCGGTGCCAGGACAGGACCCGCGCTCCCAGCGCTCCCTAAGGCCCCTCGGACTTGAGCAGGGCCGGGCTTATTCCCATCCCTCCGTCTCGACCCGCACCGCTGCCGCCAGAGGGCCCGGGCGGCTCGCTGCAGGGGCCGGTGCCGGGCAGCCCTGCTCCATCCCCGCCGGCCGGGTGCGCTCCCCAAGCCCGCAGGGCGGAAACGGAGCATCGCCACAAGACTGAGGAAGCCGCTCCTCCCCCTCGAAACTGCGGCGGGATCAGCCCCGCATGATGCGGGAGCACACTGAAGCAGGGAGAAAAAAGCAGCAAACGGTGCCCGAGCAGCTGGAGCGTGCAATGGAGGGAGGGAGGCCAGTCAACACCCACTGCACACACAGTTTGTTCACCATCCTGCTTAGCTAAATGGCATCAGCATCACCTTTGACCACATCAAGTTCCTCCTGGAAGTCGACTGCACTCAGATACACTGGAAAGACTGACAAGCAGCCAGCTGAGCACCTGCTCCACTGTTGTGCCAGTGGGCAGACACCTACAAAGCAAGCACACCAACTGCTTAAAAGGCAATGCCTGCGAGGTTTGGAGCAGCAGACCCAACATCCACTGGCCCATGGACAACAGCAATCAAGGAAGATGCTGCCAGCAGCAGCTGGTTCTGCTTTCCCACAGAACTGGGCAGCACATAGGTTTGATCCCCTCTAGCTCACAGAGTGGGACAGCATCATTACTTACAGGTCAAGACTGAATTTAAATTCAAAGTATCTTATCTGCATTACCTGGAATCACGGAGAACGAGGATTCAGGACTCAGTTTTTCCATGGGCAATATGGATTCCACAGCAGGGAGTGTGGGGCAGATACATCTGCCAGAAGTAACTATTCAAAATGTGGAATAGCTCAGCACTGGTCTTCAGATCTTCGTATCAGGGCAATGCAGCGCCAAGGTAAGGAGCCTTCCCAGCTCAACAGGGAGGGTATGGGGAAGGGCAAGACACTGCCAGCTGCCACTAAACACGTGAGGAATTGACTGAGGGGCCCAAAGCTGGCTGAAGTCCTGTGGGCTGCATCCCCCTTCCCCAGCACTGCTATTTCTAGGAGTGCTCTGCCCCCTGTATTCCTTTACCTGCCATGAGCACTGAGTTTCTGAATCCAGCCCTTGCATTACTCAGAGAACACAATTTCCTCAGGTTGGTCAGCTGGAGAGCACAGGCTGCATCTCAAACCTACCCTATTCACCTCCTCTTCCTACCTTTGCTTCCCCACCTCTGGCGTATCCTGTTCAGTCACACACCACTGAAGTCTGTAGACCATCATGCCCTCCCAGTTCTGATTACTCCTGAAGACTTCTCTTAGGCAAAGACATAGAAACATATCCTTATTATTGAATGCGGCCAAGGCACCAACAGTTCATTATGTAACTCTTCTACTCTTATATGTGAATCCATTTTGTAGACCCCACTGGAGCAGGGACTGTCCTTTGTGCCTTGCTCCTGGGGAACTGGGAAAGGCAGAAATACAGAAAAGAAAGCACAAGCAGTACAAAACAGGAAGGATTTTCATGTTCTCATTTTAATGACTATAGACACACTGCAGATGTTCTGTGAAATACATCAACCTTCTTTTAGAGCAAAACAAGGTATTCCAACATTTAAATTAGTTGCCTGCAATTCTTATACATGAAGAGACTCTTGATGAACCTCAACTTTTTCACTTTTTACTGTTTTCTTTCCTAGAAAAGGACCAAGGAACAGCTACTGTATGAAAGCATATAAACACAATTGCCAGACACCCTTCTTATCTTTCATACGAAGTTGTGGGCAATGGCCAATATTTTGGAGAACTCTCCTTCTCTCTGTCGCAGGCTATAGGGTATTGGTGTTTTTATTCTAGTCCCTAATGGATTTCCATTGTCATCTATGAGTACCACATTGTTGGAATCAAATCTAGGCGTCATGGTGGGACCAGGCATCTTGTGCCCTACAATTAAAGCCTTCTTCTTTTCTCCTTTAATAGCCAGAAGGATCTTGTCTCCTACTTTGCCAACCCCAGTCTTGTTATACACATGGATACATTTTGGTGGCCGATGGTACGGTGTGTTCCCCAAGGTGCTGTTGTCCACCACTCGCACACGGGTGAGCTTCTGTATTGCTTGGCATGCTCCAGTGAAACTAGCAAAAGACAGGAAAGAATAAGACAGATCTCCTTGGTAATCCTTTGGGAGCAAGGGCAAACCCAACACAGGATCTTGCCATTACACAAACCACTCACAAGGCACCAGCAACAAATTCATACCATATGGGTGACACACTGACTGCATTCAATGTACTCTTTGAAAGCCAGATGCTACTTCAGGCTTTGCACTCTCTTCACTAAATGTCAAACATAACAACCGTTCTACTTCGAAACATGACTAAAAGATGGCACGAAGAGTGGCTTGCATTTACTGGGCTTTTTAGTGACTGCAGATGATTTCATTCAACTTCAATTACAAGCAAAAAAATATGCTTGCTTCTGCTACAAACAGCCTACAGGAAGCTCAGGCTCAAGTGAGACTCTTTCAATCTTGTACACGACCCGCAGAGATAAGGGTTTTTTTGACCCATTTTCTTTTCGGTGAAGTCTGTAAGGGTCTCCCATCTTACTCTGCTCTCAGTTAAACACCTGAGGTCCTGCTGTTGCTGCTAAGCAGCCACTAGCTAGAACCTAACAGATCATCACTTTCCCCACGTGGGAGGAACCCAGAGGCACATTCTCTTCTGTATCTGTTTGCTCTGTGAGGTTATCAGGAGTAAGAAACAACAGAAATAAACTGCACAATACTAAGTTGTTAGATTTGACTCTGACCGTGCTTAGGAACAGCAGGAATAAACTGAGAAACAATTCAGTCTCCTTTGCAGGAACAGCTATTTGTTTATCCAGTAAGACAAAATTCAAGTGATATGTTGTTTGTCTTCAAAGGAGGCCCAAACACCGACCATCAGAAAAGCAGGAAGTCCTTTTACTGGTGAACAACTGATTTGCAGGAAGGTACCAGAAACATGCTGGCCAGGCAGCTGCAGGAATGCCAAGCTGCTGTCAGCTGAACTAGTCAAATAAACAACATACGGAATCAACCTAACCATTCACCTTGTTTTGCAGAGCAGAAGTGTATACAGTATATAAAAATCAATGGAGATCATCATCCCTTCTAGAAGATGAAGGACATGCAATTGCAATGCTACCTAAAAGACCAAGCCACCCCCTGTGTATCAAACACAGTGCTGATGTTCATCAGCTGAAGCAGGCACTTTTACATCCAGTAAAGGAGGGTCAGCTGGGTCAGTCTGTATTAGTCTAACTGCTGCAGAGGTCAAGTGCTGCCCTCAAGATTTGCTTCCTAGAGCAGAGGCCTACCCCAACTTTCCCCTACAAGAGGACACCTACCTCTCTTCTCTCTCAGAAGTCACTCACCTCTACAAGCAGCTACCCCCTCCCATCCCCTGGCAGGGATGCGGTATACCACACTCTACCCTCTGCCTGTCAGCTGTGGCTGCACAGCAGGGAAAGCAGAAAGGAGGAGTCTGGAAAGGTACAAGAGTGTTGTCACAGGAAGGAGATGAAGAAACCTAGATGGGCCAAATACACAATGAAGCAGTAGGAAACAGCTAGAAGTGTGATTGCCCAGGTACGACCGGACAAGATTAACTGCACAAGGAGGACTTTTTTCTTTCCCCTCTCTTCATTTCTATCACAGTCTTGAAGCAAAATCCCACCACAAAGGAAAGGTTCCCCTTTAAGACTGCTGACATCTTGCTCACCTTTGTGGACTGTGTCCCTCTGGCTGTCAGCATACATAGCTCCTTGAAACATCTACTGGCCAATGCTCTCATGCAACCCATTTACAGAGAAAGCCAGTATGGCCCAGGTACCTCCTCAAGATAGCTCCTGGGACTATCACATAACCTAGCTCTGAGCATTGTCTTAATACCCTCTCCAGAGCATAGTCACAAGAATGACTAGTCTCATTCTTTAAACTAAAGCCCTGACCCTTTAAAGAGTTATAAGCTAGAGACTCTCCACACCTGCACTGAATGTACTGTGCTATTAGGCTCTAAGCTTTGTGCAAGGCATTGTACAATATGAGGTCCATAAATTTAAGAAGTTTTAAATGCCTTGAGTTTGGAACAAGGACCTAAAGAAAAATAACAAAATGGGCACTGTTAAGGCACAAGGAAATATTTTTTTTTGGGTTACTTTTTTTCTAAATACCTGAAATTATAAACTCTGGAATAATTTTAAACATGTAATTGGTGCTGCATTCAGCAGGGTCTAACTGTTGCTTCTCTGCACTTGGCTGAAAAACACAGGCACTTCCACCTTCTGCTTGCAGGCCACTGCATTGCCCTCAAGGCCTTTAATCCTCCTCACACCCATATGAAAATGGAGAGTTCAGACCACATTTAGGCTGCCAGGAACCTGCCTATGTTGTGTTTGGGTTCACTTTGCAACCTGGGAAGAGAAAATGGTGAGATTTTTAAATTATTATTACATTATCCTTTCTGAATCACAAATACTTTATCTTATGCTTGACCTACTTAACAGCACCTCCTTCAATCAGAAAACTCTCCCAAGAAAACAAAAGCAAGATTTGAAAATTACCTCAAGTGCCGCTGGATCACCGTCCTGCTTAGATGGGTTAAGGATAAACCCAACCACCTGTTCAAGAGAGCCATTTGGATTCTGGTTATCCACCCTGCATAAGAAACAAGAGAACTATGAACTCTGGAAAATGGACAGAATTTGTTTTGCTTCCTTTCCCTTATGTGAATCACACACTAGAGCCTCAGCACCTCTTCAGACACTGCAATCCACAGCACAAGGAGTAGTAACAAAGCAGCATGCCACAAAGCAGATCAACAATTCCCGCCTGAATTTAAGAGACAATATAATTCAGATGTGTACACTACAAAGCTGGATTCAGTCTCACTGCATTGCAGTTGCCTGCACACATAAGTAAGGACTCTTCTGTGTAAACTGTGAACCATGTAGCTTTGAGAATTTCGGATGTTTAGTTTAGAGGCTGCTGCGACCTACCGTAGTTACTTGTAAGAGTTACCAGTGTTACCTATACAACAAGCAAAAAGCCAGAGATACCATGCAGATTGGCACTAGAGCTTCAAGAAAGAATTTGCTGGACAAGAAACAAAACAAAGCTCCACAGGTGAGGGCATGCCCTCCCTTAGCATACACAAGGTGCTCAGCAGCCTATGGTTAGAGACCAGGATCGTACCTTTGCCAATCTTGCCCTGTTAAGGCTGCACAGATCAACCAGCTCCCTTTTAACTTTACAGTGCTCAATTAAGCCAAACCAAAACAGTTCCCAGATTGCAGCAGAGCTGGGCTACAGGGGCGACCTCTAACTGAGTGTTCCACACCTTCTTCCCTGACTACATCTACGGCTGTTCCCTAACCTCATTCTGTCAGGCTGATGGCAACCAGCTTGCACACGCAACCGCAAAGGCTTATCTGGACACGGGTCACCTTGACATTGGGTAGCGAATGATGACCCGGGCAGATCCAAGAGAAGGGAGAAAACAACACAGGCCAAGAGCCAGTCCTCTTTCAGGCCAGCTCAGGCAGAGCTAAGACTGACTGCAACCACTGCTGTGTGACACTGCTTGCTTAGGCCTTGGCAGTGCAATCAACACATGCTCTGCTTCTCTCCTTTCTAAAGTAAACATTAAAAAGTGATTGACCTCTTATCTCTCTTTGCCAGTCCTGATGAGTCAAACTGTAGCAGTACATTGTAAAGCCATTTTCTTAACTTTTAACTCTTCATTTTCTTAACTCTGAAGAGTTAATATTTTTAACTTTTAAATCTTTTTCTTACCATTTTCTTAACAAAGCTGACCTAACATCTATAGAGGAAAAATACATCCACAGAGCCTTCTGGCAAATGACAGCACAGCTGATTTTATTAAACTAAGTAAACCCCAATCTAAATCTTCACTCTCCCTCTGCTGTTTTTATTTTTCCCCAGTGTGTTGTGTTTGCTTGCTTGGGGATGTATGTAACTTTCAGGGTTTGCAGTAGTCCTACAGAGCAAGCTAACGCTGACAGCAAGATGAAAAGCACTGGAGATGTGCACCGCAGCAGTCCTGTAGCAGTGCTCCCTGAACAAAGCACATGATTTGCAGCAAACCATCTCACCTGTCATATAGGCAGATCTGGAAGAGAACAGCAACAGCCAAAGATGTGCTAAACAAAAGCACTTTTCAGTGGGGTAGAAAACCTTCAAATGAGTTCAGAGCCCCCCTTCAGAGCTTGCCTGCACTGTGCCCTCTCTGAAATGAGATTCCAAGCAGGCTGTGCTTTTGCCACAGCTCCTTACCTCACTGTAATCGTAATGAAAACAAGGTCCTGTGGTATTTACAGTGCTGCTGGCAAACAAGGTGCGATTACCTGGGCATTCCTGCTCCCAAGATTTCTATGCAAGTTCAACCACATTGCCTTGCTATAAACCCACACTCTGTGTTAGCAGCCTGTGTCCTGCTCTGCACTTGGGTGTGCCATTTCCCTGTGTGAAACTCAAACTCGGTAATACTGCTTCTACTACCTCCAGAATCACACTGAGGCTTTGAATCCCCCTAGAAAACCCAAAGAGCAGCAACAGGTTGGCCTGTGTGTTGTCTTTGACAGACTCTTCCTGGAGAATCCAGCCATCCTGGTCACCCCTGCCTCTATTCCCTGGCAGGCATGGTGGCTTCGGTGGCAGGAAAGGATGGGCCTCTTCATCCTCACCATTATGTAGGCTGATGGGAGAGGTCTGCTGGCTCATGGCAGGGCAGCCACCGGCACACACTATGCCAGTGACAGCAAAGTCAGGCCCAGCATAGCAAGATGTGCTTAAGGCAGCATGTCAGAGTCCTGAAGTGCTGCCTAAACTCTGAACTCATCCCCGCTCTGGGGAGGAGTCACCATCTGTTTCTACCCTGTGGCAACAGTGAAGGTTTGAAGTTTAAAAACTACCAGCAGGAGCATCAACAGCATTAAATGCCCAAGGACTGTTTATTTTTCCAGATGACTCAGTACCCCCTCTTTGCTAAGAATGATTCCTCAGCACATTAAAATGCGTCACAGGCTAAGAACCTTCCTATGATTGATTATTTGGTATGAAGCATCCTGTTAGGAACTGAGTAAACAGGGGGGATGCTTCCAATTAGCATGCAGGGTGGAGGGAAGAGAAGAATGCACCTGTGGCATGGAGTACAGCATTCAAGGGTGCAAGCAGTTTCACAGAGTGAATCACATCTTCAGCTATTGTAACATGCCAGCTTCCCTTCTAGAAGGTTTGGGTCTGTCTCCAGGTGCTCCTCAACCAGACCCAGTCGTGACTTACTCCCTCAGCAGCTGCGAGCTTTATCTCTTTTGCCTTCTGTTTTCCCCTCTATGGAGCAGCTAATTACCAAACTAAACTCCAAAGGGCACAGAAACCACTCACAGTCACGCTGGGAGCTGCGACATGAATGATCCAAATTAGTGCCAAAGTTGAAGAGCTGCTATAAAGCAATGACAGCCATCGGCCCCAGCACACCTAGCGCCTCTCTCAATCCCTGTGCTGCCTCACACCATTAGGCCTTAAATCGTTAGGTACTTAATCACTAATACACTCCTGCCAAGGAATTATCTTGAAAAGGATGCCCGGAGGTCACCTAGTCCAATATCCTGCTCAAGCAGGATTAATTTCAGAGTTCTTAGTGCTAGGGAAGAGCAGTGTTTAAACAGATGCTATCCTAAAATGAAAGGCCCAATACAAGGACGATTGATACAAACATCAGCAACATGTAGCTGCATCAAAGCAGTGATAAAGAACTGTGCACAGAAACCTCACCTGGTCCTATCCTTCTGCCCCTAAGTTCTAACTGTGGCTCTGTCTCATGGCCAGAGAGACTAACTTCTTAAACCAGAATCTGAGACACTTTGCTTCTCTTCACTCCACATACCTGTAAAAAGTTAGCACAGACCCCAGACAGAATCTGGAGTAAGATTTGGAAGAAGGGAGGAGTTTATTAATCAAATATCACTGAAATGACCCAATTTCTACTTTACTGAATAAATCTGAGCATGCAGTAACATACTGGAGCAAACACTCCCTTCTTGAGGGCCCTTCAGCGTCACCCCATTCAATCCAGCAGACCAACATCAAATTCCAGCACCGCACAATAAGAAATTCTTCACCAGTTATAAACCCCTGGAAGTTAATTAACCACTGTGCCATTTTCAAGTGCCATAATAAAGCTACCATCTTCACCCTTCTTCCTTGAGATGAAAGAAGTAACTTACATTTACCACAATCTTGAGTGGCTTTTGAATGGAGGAATACTGAAGAATTCCATTCCAGCTCACAGAAGCAGGCCACATACCATATTTTCGTCAAACATGCACCAATGCGCAAGCTGACCACCTCAGGGAGCTGATACAAAGCAAGGACATCTTCCAGATAAGGAGAACAGGATTACATACTCACTTGGAAACTACATCAGGGCACACAGTACAGGAAAGGAAGGTCTGTGTCCCCCCAACACACATTTTCATCAACTCTTATGCTGGCTCTAGCATACATGTAGATCAGTTTTCAGCTAAATCAGTTCCTTGATCCAACTCATCCCACAACTATGTGAATGCTGGTGCAAGGGAACGTGGCAAAACATAAGACCAGAATTCCTTTCATTGGCAACCCAGATTTACATTATGACATTACCTCTGGAGAAACACCAGGAGATGTGGTCAAGAAATGGATCTCTTCCATTCCAGAAAAACATTGATGTGCCTCACAAGAACAGTCTGTATGAATGTACACTATCAACACAACCATGGGAACTCATAAAAGGCCTCTGAACACTCAAGAGGCCAGTGCAATGGCTCTGACCAAGTCTTTATCAGTGGTGTATATTTTAAAAACCAGTTGAGGCACCATTTTTACCCTGCCTGCACCATGGAGTAAACATACTTTTAAATAGTTGTTACCTAACAATCCAGTATTAGTTCCCTTTTTAATCACAAATTTTGGAAATGACCCCTGCTCCTTATATTCCCGAGATCTGTCATTTCACAACCATTCAACTATTTCTTTTCCTTCTTTCTTCTACTAACTCATCCAAACAGGCCCCAAAGAAAACCAATGGATGCTGCAAAGCAAATGCTGAAGAGTACTACTCAAAGCCTGCTGTCAAACATACAAAATAAAATAGGGAAAAATATTCTTCACTTTAATAGCAGTAACCTGATCTGCACAGTCAAACAATGGGGGCCAACATCCCCTGTATTCTTCTAAGAGAGCAAAACAGACATGTTCCAGGCGCCACAAAGATTTTAACTGCATCTGTCATCAATCATTAGAATGCAGGAAATAAATCCAAGATAATATGTGCCATGCAAATACCTAAACCCCTACTCTGGCACTGTGGGTTTATTTATAGATCATCTGCCAGGGTGAGCTACCAGAGCCAAGTGTGAACTACAGGACTCAATCCATTCATGACTCTACTCATAAAGGAAACGATGTGATTAAGGGCGTGTGTGTGTGTGTTAAAAATACACAAGATATTCATTACCCAGACATAACTGGTTTCACATTAATGACAGCCAAATAGTCCAGGATTCACAAAGAGGAATTAACTCTTTTCAAATTCCCTTTATGAATAAGATTAGCTATTAAGTAGGATATTTATTGATCCAACTTACCAAGAGAAACTCACTACAGGTACATCTGTTAACAATTTTAAAGCAAAGCACAGTAACCTCATTTTCCAAATCAGAATCAGGAAAGGCAGACCAAAAAGAAGGGCTGAATACTTTTACTGGAAAACTTACTTAAAATGTCAAAAGTATCCAAGCAACCCAATTCTGAGGTTCTTATGGCTCCTACCATTCTATTATCCAAGCACCTTAAATCATTCTATATATTCATATTCACAGCACTGTACTTAAAATAAGGAGGGATTACTCCCAGTGCACTGGCAGGAAATTAAGCTACAGAGAGGACAACCTGTGTGAGGTCAAAGGAAAGGAGCAGTAGAGCAGGTGCTTAACCCCAGAAGCTCTGGTCTGGTCTGCAGGTGAACCTCAGTGAGGACACTCCCTGTCTCTCTCTGCCTTCTGGAATTACACATGAATTCAGAGAACTGCCCACACTCCTGTAACTCAATGCTGCTATCATCTCTCAAGGGTATCTTCGCTACTCCTGAAAGCACTGAGGTCTCAAGAACAGGATAGGCGGCAAGCCACAAGGTCAGATTCTTCTCCCAGCCCTGACCTGGGCGACCACATCCCAGCCAGCAAGGTGCGACCACAAACCAGATAGCAGCAACCGCACTGGGGGGACCTGTGACAGGGAGAAGGCCACAAACAAGAAGGGAAAAAAGGTGGAAAGCTGTGGCTCAACTATTAAAATAAAGCCAAGAACCGCTAACCTGGGTTACTTGTTCACAGAACAAAGAATGATAGTGGCTCCAGGCCTTCCTGATAGAGCCATACCGGAAAACAATGCCTAACAGACAGAATTCAGGCTTAAGAAAAACCTGCCCTGGAGACAAAGGCACACTAACGGTACAAGGCAGCACAAAGCTACCTGCAGCTTTGCTAGAATAAGCCTCGCTTCTCATGCAAAAACTTCCCTTAACTCAGTTTCCTTCCTTCCAAAGAAAACCCTCCCAGGTAAGCTGGGAGAACTCAAACCAGAGAAGTGAACACAGCTCAGATGAGCATTTATAACCTGCGTTTACAAAGACTGTGTGTCTGCTTTTACTACAAGGAGTAAGCTTTACACACTTACAAGAAATCCATCATGATGTCTTCTTCCCCAAATTGCCTCCCCTTACTCACCAGACCTCCAAAAGTGTTTTTTTGGAGAACAACCAGCAAAGCACAGACTAACACCCACACTTCCTGAGTCCCCATGACACACACAAGTAAATGCCACTCTTGTCAGGACACAGGAATTTTGGTTTAACTTTGCTGCATGACTACTCATACCTATCCATAAGCCTAACCCCGGCAGCTCAGCTCCCCGTAGATTCTGAAAGACACTGAAGGGCACACATGCAGGAATCACACAGGCCAAAGTGCTAGGTCAGGGCTGAAGCCCAGCAAAAGCACCGGGTGCTGCCTCTCGGAGGCAAGATGCTAGCCGTGACCCCTTCTGCAAGCGACACAAAGGCTCCAGGCTCCACAGAG